CATTGAAATTTTTTAGAAATAATTATAAATTTTACAATAATTATAAATTTCAGATGGTTTAAAATTAAAATTCTTAAAAATAATTGAATTTCAAGTGATTTTGAATTGAAATTTTTGTAAATTTTATTTGCCAGATTTTTTATTTGCCAAAACTTGCAAAATGTTTTGGAATTAGTCTCAGAAAACTTTTTGTTTAAATAATTTTACCCACAAAAAAGCAAAATAAAATACCTTTTAATTTTCAAAAATAAAATCAAAGTGAAAAAATGTTTATAAACAAACTATTTAAACAAAAAGATTCATCAGCTTCACTCTAGAACTTTTTGTAAACTAGTATTAATCAAAAAGAAAATCGATTATGAGCCAGTACTGGCTTAATATCGGTCCAGTCTCGGCAGCCAATACTGAACCAGTACTGCGCCAGTAGTTAACTCTGGTATAATACTGAAATTTTTGGTTGGGCCTGTTGGAATTTTTATATAAAATTTTTAATTGAAAAATAGTTTCAATATTTATTATTTATTTATTTATTGAAATAAATCCAATTGAATTTGTGAAGAATTTCATTAAAATTATTGAAAATAATTAATTTAGGGGAGAATTTTAGTTAACAATTTGTTAAATAATTGAAATAAAAAAGAGCTGAAGAAAATTTTTACATTGTATAATAAAAAATGACGTATTTTGTTTAAAAATTTTGGTAAAAGTGAAAAATTTTAAAATTCGAAAAATTTGCATCTTATTAAAATAAGAAAAAAATTAAATTGGTTAATTTAATTTTTATTTATTTTATTTTTATTATTTTTTAAATTATTGTCTCAATAAAGAAGTAGTTATTTCACATGAATATTCCTCTAATATTCCATAAAAACATGTTTTCAAATATTCTAAAAAAAGGAAATAAAAATATATTTCCATCTATATATAATTATACTTCATTATTCTAATTTTATTGCGAGTTAAAATTGCAAAAATAAGTCTTTAATTTAAAATTCTAAAAGAAGTTGCAACTGTAAAACACCTTTAAAAGGTTGGAGAATTTTAAAGTCTTGCTCATGAAGAGGCCCACTTCATGAGGTGATTTCGTCTCGAGGTCGCCATGGGGAATACCACGAACATAAATCACGACATTCACCATAGCAGGGAACCGTTTGGTTGTTCTCTCGATCTTTGCTTGCAATAGTTTTTCTCCTTTTTTTTTTTTTATTTTTAATAAATATATATCCCACAACATAATGTATACGTGCTGAAATATTTAGACATGTTGTTGTTGTAGTTACATGTTATATTATATAAACGTACACATATTAAAATGAACAATGACATGATTAAAATGTGTATATACTATTCACATTCTATCGTCCTACACAATCGCACACGTATCATGCGTGCCCAAGAAACTTGCGTACAAGTTCGTCACACTTTCAATTTCAAGAAGGAAGGAATGTCTATTACGTACGTGTGTAAGACTTTGTGAAAGCAGCAATGCTTGTTGCAAACTTGTTGAGATATATTATAGTTTCAATTCGTGTGTGTGCGATTGTCGCGCGGCTAAATTTGCAAAACTTGTTTTTGACAAAGTTTAACTAAATTTCAGCCAATTTGCTAAAACGTCAAGTTGAGCCAATTTATTATGGCTGTAAACTTGGGTTAAGACATAAATCAATGGCGGTTTATTTATGCGAAAAAAAAAATATAGCACAAAATGTATAATGCAAAAAAAAAAAATACTATGGAAAAAATAGTATTTTGTAATATATTATCTACTGTGGAAGATAAAAAGAAGTGAACTTTTACTTTGGAAGTATTTTATGCATAGATGAAATGAAATTTGCAATGTTTTGATAAAAAAAAAAAAACATTCTTTATTCTTTACAATAATGCAGGTTGTATTTCTCAACTTGGGTATTAAATTTTTTCCGTTATATTTATCTTAAATGATAAATTGTTTTTCTATTTTAAATTTTATGGTTTTAGATAAAAAAAAAAAATTAATAAATGTGTATAGATAACTTACACTAAAATGTGATGTAAATGCTTAAATTATGTTAAAAATGTAAAATTTGTACTATTTTTTTGTTAAATTTCTTCGTTTACTTGTATAATATAATACTTGTATTTTATAATATTTCATAATTTTTTATATATTTTAGTATTAATAATTTATATTCTCTGTAGTATTATTGATTAAAACTATTAATCAAATTATGAAACCTATTATTAAATAATAATTAGGTAACGTAAATTAATCTCACCTATAATTAAAATTATCAATTGAATTATTAATTAATGGTTAAACCCATAAGATAAAAATACCATTTATTTTGAACTCTCATCAAAACTTTCATTGTTTGTATAATACTAACGTTTAATTTTTCCATTCATTATTGTTCAAAGTTAATAATTATTGAAACATCATTGTTATTGCATCATCAATAATTGGTTAACATCATTTGTATTTTTAATTTATTTTTTTTTTTATTTAAACATTGCAAAGTTCAACATAGAGAAAAGATATATTTGTCTCAGAGCCAAATAAATATTTATTTGAGCTAAATTAAAGTTTTATTTTCGATAAATAAAATTTTATTTGTGCTAAATAAATTTTTTTTTTTATTTAAAACAAATGAAAAGTTATTAGGCTTAGAAATATAAATATATTTTTGTTTCAAATCAATTTTATTTGTTTCAAATAAACGCCAGTAAAATATTTCTCTGGATCACGTAAAAAAGGCTTTATCTGGAACAGCTATATGTTTCTCTAGAATAGCTAATACTTTCGCTGTTTCAGTGAAACATATCGCTGTTCCAGATAAAGATTTTTTTCCATGATGCATATTATACAATTTTTAATTTTAAAGTATACGATATATTTTAAATTAAATGCTATACTTTTAATTAAATACTATATTTTTAATAAATTTTTAAATTAAAATATTATCGAATCGTTTAAAAATTGTACACACGTATTATAAATGCATAAATTTTCATTCACTGGGTAATGATCAGTATTGTAAATAACAGCTTCTTTTTACCTTGGCATAGTAACGTTTGATTGTTTTCGTTACATACACCCTCAACAATCTATAATAAATCAATAACCCATAGGCTGTAATTAGTACATACGTAATTAGAAAAAAAAAATTGAAAAATTGTAATAATATTATGATTTAATTAATATAATTTTGCTATTTTGAAATATAATAATGTATAGTTGAAGCAACGGTTAATTTCGGTTTTTTTTTCTCCTGGAGCAATGTGTGCTATAATTTACTTCAACAACTTCATGTTATTTTTTTGTAGTAGGTGATTTTGCCAATGGAATCACGGTTAATTAGATTTAAAAAAAATAGCTTAGCATAGAAAAAAAAAAGAAAAATAGCATATGCACCATAGAATTGTCCTAATTCCACTTACTTGTAATAAAATTCTTTCTCATTATTGAAAAAGAACCTCAAAAATTAATTTTAATATTTTCTTTTATTATTATCCGATTTTCATATCGGTAAATCTATTTTTGTCCTATTTCGAAAATTTTCCATATTCAAAAAACATTATTTTTATCCAAATATTAAAAAAAAACAAAATTTTATTGCCAAAAAATACTTTTTTCACTGTTATAGATATATATATATATTTTACTCGTAGTGTAGGTGTTTTTATGTTCCCAGAAAAGTAAAATAGTTATTAATTCAGAGAGAGAGATATAACCTTGCAAAAGTTGCATTTTATCGATAGAAAATTTTAGCGTCAAGGATGTTTTAATGTTTCGTAACATTTATGAGAAATCGAAATATATATCATTAACCGTGGGTGGAGGACAGAAATAGCGTAGGCATAATGTTATCTAATGAGGTATTGTACATTTTAGGTAGTCGCGAGCATAAATGTATATACATATATATAAAAAAGGAGACGAAGATGTAGACCTGTTTTTTTTTTCTTCTTTCTTTTTATATAAGGCCCGGCATTCGTCACGATTAATCAGACACTTTTATATACCCTCAGGTGTAAATTCAATAACATAATCCGTTCTTTTATTCAAAAAAAAAAAAAAAAAAAAATCTTTCAATTTTTTAAGTATACAAAAATATTTTGAATCTCATCATGATTTTTATAATTATTCAACTGTTAAATAATAATTATTAAAATAATAATAATCATAATAATAACAATAATAATAATAAGGCTGATTTATGTTCCTTGTCCAAAAATTATTTCAACAATTTGTCAATTTTTCTTCTTTATCAAGAATAATTAAATAATAGTTTATAATAATTAAATACATTGAAATTATAATAAATGGTTAAAAATAAAAAATATAATAAATTATAAGTAGTGGTAAAATTGTTTATTATATTATTTTTATTGTTGTATATATTTATTACTTTTATTTTAATTACTAATTTTAATTACTGTTAATTATTATTAGTAATTTATTATTATTAGTAATAATTAAAATTATTGTATATAATTTTTATTATATACTTTTATTTTTATTACTATAAATTAAATTACTAATAATCTATTAATTGATAATTAGTAATCAATAATATTACTATTTAATATATTTTTACGAAGAGTGTATAATAATTTTTAGCCGAGGATTGTTTGCATAAGTCGACATCTCGTTATTTTCTATGCTTCATTGATTATACTTATTTTTTATAATTTCTCTAAAAGCCTCAGTCATTAAAGATAGCCGAACGTTTCTCAATTTACAAAAGCAAATATATATCTAAAACTAGATAATATGATTTTATGAATATAATTATACTTTATATTTAAATAATAATTGTTCATATTTACTTTGCTTATAAAACTCGTTTTTGTAGGATAATTATTATCAGTAAAAAATGATTAGTTTATTATTATTATTATTATTATTATTATTGTTATACAGTTATACTGATTTCAGTATCATTTAAATGCTAATAAATATAATTTTTTAGTTTGTAAAAAAATTATATATTAATTTTCATAAAGATAATAATAATTACCTCTCTGACACCGAGAATAACAAGTAACCACCATGTATTTGACAACATCGCCAGGGATGTCCCTCGAATAATTGTCCTTTTCATGATAAATTTTTTTTTTTTTTTTTCGTTTAACTTTCACACCAATAAAAATATACTATCTTATTCTTGTGAAGACAACCAGCCTGTCACTATATATAAAGAACTGGTTTTCTTCAACACCTGTAGATTCACACATGAAAATTGACATTTAATTTTGCAAATAGAAGACAATCCATAGTTCTATCATGTTATATTTTCGTCGATTATCTGTTGAAGATGCGTCATTTCGTAAATAAATTCTTTTTTTTAAGTATTTAAGCGGAAATTTCTTTCCGGTAAATTCTGTTTGGAATTTACACTCATCACATTTTTTAGGTTAAAAAAAATAGAAGAAAATAAAGAAAATTTATTGGTTCTTTTTCACTTTGTAAACAAAATTTCATTAAGTGCGCGTAACAAATAAAAAAAAACACGAGTGATAGATAAATAAATGTTATGTTAGTAACGAATGTCGTGCTGGCACGATAATGACTGAGACGACTGTTGGTTGGGACCGAAAACCACCAACCACCGCCCGTCGATTGCGTTGGAAGACCTGGTGCATTTTAGTGGGGACTTGTATCTCTGGTACCGTGAGGAAATTGGAGGGGACTATATATGTATCTTGGTACCATCCGTGACGTTAACATCTCGACTGAAATAGGGAATTTAGTTTATATAATTTATATTTAGTTTCTTATGGTAATGAAAATAAAAATGCATAATATAGGCGATGGAAAATTATTTTTTTTATGTATTTTAAAATTTTCATATTATTCGGCGAAGATTTTAATTTTCTTCTTTTCTCTTTTGCTACTGACGTGATCAGTGCGGGCATTCGTGTCTCCAATTATTTTTTTTCCAAAACTTGGTATTTGAGACTGGTTTCTTCCCTATCGGTAGAGAATTTACTGTACAGTGGAAGAAGTAAAAGAAAGGGAGCAGCACTTTATAGCGTTAAATTGTCGATATAAAAGGAATCGACTTTTCTTCGATTTTTTTTAATTATTTAAAAAATAAATTTTAACTTTTTGTATTTATTTACATTTTATAATGAATGATTAACTTTTGGATTCAACATTTGGTTGTGTATATTAAATTTTTTAATGAGTCAATTTTTTTTTCTGTTTACAGATTTTCCATGTGATTGAGAAATGTCCATTTGATTGAATTCTCGTACGGCTGATTCTGTGGCTAATGGTCCAATCTGATGTTTCAGAAAATAGTTATTATTAGTGTTTTTCCTTATAAAGATTTTCTTTTGGTAAGTCATTTTTTATTTTTTGGTTCAAACATATTATTAATTTAAATTTATTTTATCATTACTGCACTGAAAAAAAAATTATTTGATTCAAATATTTGGTTACTTGATTATTATCAAATAAATATTTACTTGAACAAAATAATTTTTATTTGAGTTAATTAAATAGTATTTGTTTCAAATACAGAAATTATTGGTCCAAATAAAATTTATTTAATTCAAATAAAAATTATTTTGTTCAAGTAAATATTTATTTAATAATATTCAAGTAACCGATTATTTGAATCAAATACATTTTTTTCTCAGTGTGTATGTGTCAAACATAATTAAATTCATTTCAAACTTATTTTTTAATTGATTCAACGTATAAAATATATTTAATTTAAACATTTTTAGTTAATAAAAATTTTAAATTTAAATCAAACATAATAAGTTTTTAAACTTATTTTTTATTTAACCGAAATAGAATATATTTTTGAATTATAAGTATATTATTCAAATAAATTATATTTTTAAAAAGTAATAGATATTTTCTATATATTAATATTAAACTTCTGGTCTGAGTTAAACCAAATAAAAAAACGTCTTCTAAAATTGTATTTATTTTATTATTATTATATTTTATATGTGACGCGCTCTGAAGAAAGGGACCATAGAAGCAAACGAATTATAGATTATGTTTACGATATTGTTTTACCTTGATTAAAAGTTTCTTTTAACTTTTTTAATTTAAAAATTAGTTTTTAGTTAATATTTTTAATGTAATGAAGAGTTAAATATCAATAATTTGTATTTAGAATTGATCCTCTTTGTTTATTTTCACTTTCTAAATCTGAATTAGTAAAATTTTACTAATTATTAGTAACTTTTACTAACAATTAGTAAAATTTAACTAATTCTAAAGCAAAAAGTAAGTCACTAATTTAAATTAGTAAACATTTTATTTAGATTTAGAGAGCACTTTAAAATTTTAAAACATAACCTATAATTTTTTTGCTTCTAAGGTCCCTTTCTTCAGAGCCCGTCACATATTTGTATTTAAATTAAATATAATATTTTATTTGTGTAACTTAATGGACTTAAATTTAAAACTATTAACTATTGGAAATTAAATTTCCTGTTGAATTTAGAATTTTATACAAAATGTTTTGGAAATTTTGGAATTTTAAATTCAATTTCAATTCTGTAATTTAAGATCATTAATTATAATTTATAATTTAACCAGTTGGAATTTAATTAATATATCAATTAATTTTTTGTTTCAGAATTTCTTTATATAAAATTAAATAGTGTTGTGCGCGTTGCATTAAATTTAATAGTGCGTAATTAGCTTCGGGAGTGTTCGATTTTTTTTTAAATCGCGATCGATATTTTTAGGGTGTTTTAAAATTTTTTTCCGTCAATTCGGTTTTTTTTAAAAATGTGCTCCGACTTTCTTAAAATTGCAAAAGTTCAAAATATTCAGTCCAAGATATTCTTCTCCAGAATCGGTAAGTCCTTTATCTTAATACACTTAAAAATATAATTAATTGAATATCCAATTAATTTATTTTATTACAATAAATGTTAAAATTCCTTTAGATTTATGAGAGGGAATAAAAGTAAAAAATTACAATTCATAAATGTTAATGGAAGTGGAAATTGTAAAATTAAATTGAATGTGATATATGACATGATATTGTGGATCATAAAAGTGAAATATAAGAGTATAGTGGATATAGAAATTCATAGATGCGCAATGCTGAAGGTGTGAAAATATATATCAGAGAAGATATAGAAATAGACTTATTTGGAATATGAAAAGATGAAAATTTGGAATTCAGTTCTAGTGTTTTCTGGAGCAGTACTTCTGGGAGAAGCAGTGCACTATTTTGTTTCTTTCCCACCTATGAAAGTAACAAATGTCACACTCTCAAGTGGTTGCAATATTTGTTGCATGTTATCATTTTTGCTGTTGAAAAATAAAAATTTGTTGTTTAGTTTAGTATGGTTAGTTTTTTGAAATTTCTAATTTGATGAGCCAAACAAAATTTTTGAAACAAATTTGACAGTTTTGTATTTTTGTTTCTTAAACGATTTTGCATCTACAGATTGTTTTTTTTTTTTTTTTGCACATACGAATGTGAAGAAAAATGTTTTAAAATACATTTTCTCTCTTATCACTGACAGGCAATTCTATATCTGCGACACGCAATTTCAGAGATAACTTGTTTTGTCAGCTTTACAGTTTAGGAAAAGATTCATTTTTAGGTGTATTCCAAATGAGAAATGAAGGCGGATATTTCTTTTTACCCTTCCTTATTTTTTATCTAGATATAAAAATAGTATTCCATATATATATATATAAAAGTTTTCGCAGATCGGTTAATATTGATCTAGTCTGTTTTGCTGTAACATATCTGTTAGATATCAATCTTTGGCGGAGCTTTTCGTTGTCTGATTTTGGCAAGCTCGCAAAACTCTTATACTTTGTCTGGACAGTTTTGGAAAGGGGGACAAGTCAAGCAATGTACAATATTAAGAAAACGGACGGTGATCTGATATTTTTCTTCAAAATAGGATTCGCTTTTTATCCAAACTGACTTCATATTTATTTTGGCATTATAAATCTTTTCAAAAGATATATATATATATATATATATATTCGATATTTGTGTACATATATTGCGCCAGAAAAGGATATAACAAAAAGAAAATCTTAAGGGAAAAAATTAGTTTTTAAACATTTTTTAAGACAATATTCTGTCTTAAAAACGTTTGCTAAAATAAAACTTTAAAATAAAATTTTCCTTTTTAAATTTAATTTTTAAAATCCGAAATTACGATAATTTTTTTAATTTTTCAAAATTGGAGATAGTGTGATAAATTATATATATTTATTTATATAATGGATGTGAATAATAAATCACTGATAAAGTATTTATATTTGTGCATTGCAATTTTGGATCCAATTAATTACGACCGTAAAACTAATCCTGATTTTATTTTCCGTGCAGATATTTGGCGCGCGTTTGCCTGTTTACTGTAGATATACAATAACCAGTGTAAATTTGAAATCGTTTATAAATAAAACGCGATAACTTAATATGATTTATACATATATATATATATATATATATATATATATATATATATATATATATATATATATATATATATATATGGTGAGACGAGTGAAACTTCTCACGAATGAAAAGTCAATTTAATTTTCAATTCCCAAGAACGCCTGCAATTATACCGATTCTGAATGGCTTTGTGGCATCCCTTTTGAATCGGTCAACACTCAATTTAAAAAACAAAGCTCTTTGTCTGTCTTACTCTTTGTTCGGGTGACCGTATGTCACCCCTATCATACTGTCCCTTCGTCAATTCTCAACCAAATACAATCAATGGTAAAGTGCCACGCCGCACTCTTGGGCGCAAATTTATACTTAAAATCATTTTTTTTACTTTTTATTCATTGTTGTGTTCAATTAAATATTATACAAATATTTTTGAACGTTGTTATTTTGACTCGCATTTTAATTAGGGGTGATGATTTTATCTAAATTTTAAAAACTTTTAGTTCCTCAACGTTTTTCCTAATTCCTAATTTATTTTATTACGATATTTGATTTGCAATTGTTTTAAAAATTGGATCAAAATATTTATTTAGGAAATTCTAAAATTAGGAAAATCGGCAGTGAACCCTAAATTTTTATAGTTTTTATAAACTACACGGAGAAAAATGGAAAAACGAATAAAGTAACTTTTACTACTTTAAAAGTAAAATTGGACCTGTCCGAAGTTTCTGCGCATCTCTGGCAACTTTTACTCGAAAAATAGTAAAATTGACTATTTCTGTAGTAAATTTTACTGTTTCCGTAGTAATTTTTACTATTTCTGAAGTAAATTTTACTATTTTTGGAGTAAAAGTTGCCAGAGATGCGCAGAAACTTCGGACAGGTCCAATTTTACTTTTAAAGTAGTAAAAGTTACTTTTTATTTTTTTCCGTGTAGGACTCGGATTTTATGCACGGAAAAAATACTTTATCTTGAATAGCGAAAGGTTTCACTAAAATAGTGAAAGATTTAATTGAAACAATTAAAACTTTTTGCACTGAGAAAAATGTTTAGTCAGAGCAACCAAAATTTGGCTGGGCCAACAAAAAAAATTTTGTTGGTATTTAAGCAACCAAACTATTTGTTTGAGTCAACCAAAAATTTTGGTTGAGTGTTTTTTGTTGGCATAACAAAAATGTTTGTTTAGCTCAACCTTTTTGTTAGTTCAACAAAAATGTTTGGTTGATCAAACAAATTTAAGCTAAACTGTTCTCTTAAATTATGAGCTGAGAGCGAATCAAATTATTTGGTTGTCGCAACCAAATTTTGGTTAGGACAACAAACCATCATTTGGTTTTTTAGAACAAACTATTTTGTTGTGTTAAATAATTTTGTTGGCCTAACCAAATGTTTGGTTGAGATAAGTCTACGACTTTGTTTCAGCCAACCAAAATTTGGTTACAAGAACCAAAATTGCCTAATCAAACAATTTTGTTGCAAACACTAAATTTTTTTTCTCAGTGTGATATTTTATAAAGTTTTCGCTGTTTCAGGTAAATATTGTTTTCCCTGTGGAATATTTTTCTTGATTTTGAATATTTTAGAAACATTTTTATATAGTGAGGTTATTTTTGGAGAATATGATAGATAATTTTAGAGGAATACGTTTTTTTCTGAATTTCGTTTACAATTTTATTTTCATAATTTTCTCCCCTATTGTTTGTAATACAAAGAGAATATTTTACAATTGAATATTTCTTCATAAAATTAATTTTATTCGTTAAAAAGTTTTCTAATTTAAATTCAGTGAAGGTAGAATATATATAGCGAAAGATGGAAATTGAAAGTAGAATCGTATTAAATAAACAATTGAATTACATTTATATATATATTTTAATTATCAGAGAGGATAAAGTGAAATTATTATGCGACTTATTTAAATGTGAAGCTTCATTTGGGAA